AATGAGGACCTAATGTCGGGGGTTTGAGTGGAGAGAAAATGTTTTGAGAAACGATGTACAAATGCGCTTTACACAATTGATGTGTGTATGGATTGGGATGACAGTTGTATGAGCCCCTAATAAAATGTTTAAAAACAAAACAAAACAAACAAAACAGAACAAAAAAAAATAAAAAGCAATTTAACCATGAAAAAAAAAAATGTGACCTTGTGTCTTGGAATGTAAAGTGGGATTGTGAGAAATAAACTGGAATCTAAAGCCTCAAAATTTAATAATGAATTCTAAATCAACTCAATAAAACCTTTGCTTGTTCAAATTTTGCCCTAGCAGTACCATATTGTAATAATTAGTCACTCAAGATGATACGTTTTGACAATGGCATATACTATGTTTTAAAATCTCACAATTTTTAATCACCTGAAAAATCTTTCTTAAAACCTGTTATTTTAATTAAACCAAACTCAACTACCATCGAGTTGATTCCCATTTACAATGACCCTACAGGACAGAGTAGAACTGCCCCTGAGGGTTTTCAAGACTGTAATCTTTACACGAGTAGAAAGCCTCATCTTTCTCACTTGCAGCAGCTAGTGGCTTAATCCACTAAGCCACCAGGGCTCCTGGTGGGATGTATGTAGTACTGAATAATTCATTTTTTTGGTTCCGTGCGACATTATTTTTTTTATTTCTTAGCAATTTCGTGTTTATTCTGCTGTAAAATTTGTAACACTTAAATCGTCTGAGATGCCATTTTACTAATACAGATCCATTCTTCTCTCTTTTTTAGCAGCTTACATGAACAAGTCTCATAGTCCTAATGAGTACCATAATGTTCCATCTATGGACAATGTGTGTTTGCCAACTCCCAGCCAGATCCCTTCGGTTTCCACACCAGTAACTGAACTTTCTCGAATTTGTTCCCTTGTTGGAATGCCACAACCAGATTTCTCCTTTCTTAGAACACCACAGGTATTTTATTCTACTGTCTCATTTATACCATTTCTTTAATACTGAACTTAAATTGACTAAAAATCTATGGCTAGAAAAATTTAATAAGGCTCATTATGATTAATTTTTCACATTATGAGTAGCATAGATGTTTGCTTCTCATTCTAGCCGTTCCATTTGTACATAGCCAGAGCTCTCAAAGAGCCTAACGGCAAGAACCCTGGGCAGCAGGTGTGCCAGAAAGATCCTTCAGCATGAACTAGCTAGGGTTCTTGGCCTACAAGGGCAGTTCTCAAACTGTTTAGTGTCAGAACCACCTGAGAGGGGTAAGAGCAGATCCCAAAGACTTGTTTACTTGAATTCTAATTGTTTACTTGAGTTCTAATCATCCATATTTACCATAACAGAAATTGAAGTTAAAAAAATCTGTTTAATGTGTATAAACTCATTTTTTATTTTAAAAACTTAAAAAATTAAATGAGTAGCATTACTCTGCATATTTGCAAACATTTTTATCACTGTTTTAATAAACAAAGCAAGTTTCTCATATCTGCTTCTGTATTGAGTCTTTTGTAATACATTTTTTTGTTGTTGATATGTCTGAAAAAAAACTGGCCTCACAGGTAGATAGCTATACAAAGGAAAGACATTTTAATAGCTTTTTCAGATAATTGTGGATATTTTTTGATACTATTTTAAAACTTATAAAGTAGTATTTTCTTCAGGAGACATTGAAGTATGCAATCTGAAACCATATCAGTGAACTGTTTTGTACTCTTTGTTTTTCTGTTTTGTCCTCTTTATTCTTATTTAAAAATGAGAATGAAAAAGGCAATTGACATCTAAATACTTTGTGAAAATAATATGGGCCTTAAAAAGCCTTTGTAAAGAGCTTCAGGGTTTCCCAGATTGCCTTTAATAACCACTCTTTACAACAAAGCTTGTTTTTAACTTCTTCACAGTGAAGTTTCTGATTGGGTTCCAGGCTCACACAGAAGAAAAGTTAAACCGATAATATTACATGGAGGTGACTACCTTTTCTGAGGCAGGGGCAGGCGGGTGGGTAATTTTATGTTTAAATTGTAAATATAAAGAATTACAATTTAGATGTGCAAATAAAATCAGAATCTTCTCATATTAAATTTGCAGAAGTTGATTCATATTAGAAAATATCTGCGAATTGGTATATAGTGTAAAGCAGAAACCAGCAATTTTTCTGTAGTGGGCTAGATAGTATTATAGGGTTTTGGTCTCTGCCATGTAAAAACAGCCATGGGTATTGTGGGTGTGTAAAGTCATGGGGCCTGATTGTGGAATAAACCTCTTTACAAAAACAGGTGGCAGGTCTGACTACAGTCCTCAGCGGAAAGGAAAAAAGTTGCTGGCTGTTGTTTTCTTTAGGATATTTGACCCTGCAGCCAGCTTTGAGAGTACTTTAGTTGGTAAGCATTGAGAGATAGGGTAGCAGTTCTGAAAGTGTGCATGCCAACCCAAAATTATGATAGTCTTTACTTAAATTCTTCGATTCTTTTTTACAGAATGTTATAAAGTTTTCTAGACAAATCGTGTCATGATACTTATATTCTTTCTCCTAGACAATGACAGTCTGCCAGGTACAGCTATCTAATGGGTTACTGGTGCGTGGACCGCAGTGCCGCTCCGAAAATGAAGCCAAGGAGAAAGCTGCGTGTTTTGCTTTGCATCAGTTGGTAAGAACTGCCCTGGACTTCTGTATTAGGGTTTTAACTAGTCTGTATGGAAAAAAATGTTTTGCATTGTCTTAGAACTTTTAAATACCTTCACAGAGCTCACTGGGACTGAATTTCTCTGTGCCTCTACCAATATTTCCGAATTATCCACCTGCTGTGCCACCTGGAACCATCCCTTCAGTTTTCCCTCAACCTACCAGTAAGATATTTTGCTTTTTAAATTATTTGTCGTTGAGTGTTATTTTAGGTACTTTAAGAAGTACTAAAACATTCAAAAATTCACCCAAATGTCTAGGAATGTACAAGCAGATTTTAAGAAGTCAACATGAAACCAGAGCCTGTAAATTCATCTAAAATGCTCTTCTTTTCTACAGCTCCAGTGCAGCTAGAGTGGGACAGTTGTCTCAGGGGTGGGCAGGCCCTTACTCAGTAATAATCGCCAATGTTAGGTATCTGGAGTGGGTTACCTCAGTTCTTCCTTCACAACGCTGGAAGAATTCATATGGCAGAAGCATGTTTGTGATCCAAGTGGCTTTTATGATGAAAAGGGAAGTTTCAGGTATTCACAGGAAATCCCAGGGGCCAAGAGAAGGAAATCCCAAAAGAGCACCCTGAGAGAGAGGCCTGAGAGGTAGCTTGGCCCCTAAAGCCCCATCGGTGCATGTGTACCCCACCCTCTGACCTGAACGAGAAAGGAGTCAGAGGAGTCAAAGAGGCTTGACCTTCCTGTGGCATGCTCTTAGGCTGGGGAGGCGTGGTTTAAGGTATTGGCCTACCTCATTGGCTGAGTGTAAGTGCACCTGGGTGATGTCATGTGGCTGGGCCTAGTCTGTGCACCCCAGTGGACCTGGCACCTGGGCCTAGGGGGCTTGTGTCTGAGCATGCTCAGTTTGGATATTTCCATAGGTGTCTAATTAATTTGCCTGATTTCTTTCCAACCCATTTGTTATGGCCCTATGCAGGCATTGGGGAAACAACCCCCCACCCCCTTAGTCCCTATTCTGGCTACTAACACCAACAGATGAATTTGAATTTAGTTAAACACTAAGAACCAGAGATGCAGAAGCAAGTAGGGGAGAGGGTAGGGAGAGGAAAATAACAACAACAGAAAGACAGATGAGGTGGCTTTTAAGCTGTAGATATAAAAAAAACAAATTTTAACACCCTTTGGATGAGGAACCAGGAATAATGGAAGAGCTTTTAAGCTTATTGTATGTGTTTCCTACATTATCATGTATTGGTCTTCCTCCAGCCATAGTGCCTGACTTGTCCTTCTTTCTGTGGCCAGCAACAGTGAAGTGGAAAGGGCACTATGGATTTAGGACTCTCTGTTTATCCAGGCTCATCTATTGACTGATCCTGGAACTCAGGTTTCTGACATGTGATTGTGTCCTGAATCATTTTAAAGTTAACATTTTATAATTTTATCATTATGAGTCTTAAGTATTTTGTTTATCCCCAGCTTTTTTTGGCCACCTGTTAGCAATGATCTTTTCTTTTCTCAAATTTTTTTTAGCAATGATCTTTTCTAGATCCTAATTATTGTCATTTTAAAACAAATATCTTGTTAGGTTTTTTTGTTGTTTCAAGTTTTGTTGTTGTTCAAGTTTTGTTGTTTCAAGTTTTGTTAGGTTTTTTTGTTGTTTCAAGTTTTGTTTCAAGTTAGGGGTTATAGTTTATTGTTCTTTACTACATGCCAAGTTTTACTCCAGGAGCTCTACTTAACTAATCCTCACTACAAATATTAGAATGGTTGATAATGCAGATGAAACAAGGTAAATGTATACCATGTGAATTCTCTTTGCCCAAACTCTATTGAACTGGTTTAAAGTGTCAACTTGTCAGAGTTAAGCAGCTCTGACCATCGTGGGGAGTCCATAGGCGCACTGGTGCGGCGGTAAAGTGTAAAGACCACAGTAAAGTCCTAGAGGATAGGAGAGGTGTAGGAGAAGGCACAATAAAGGAGTCAGACACGTTTTATGGCAGCATGCTCCCCTCAGCCCCTCTTGGTGGTCCACGTGGAGGTGGGAGACAGAGGAAGAAAGAGGGAGTGTATTTCTAACCAAGGCTTATATATACTTAAGGGCATGAAAGCCCCCCTGAATACAGGTAACCACATACATCACAGAAAGGGGTTGTACCATAGGCAATACAGCAGTGGGAGGGGGATAATCGAGGAGTGTACACACAATAGGAAGAAGAGGGATTACGGGTACACCTGTGACAAGATGGGCGGATCCTAGGTTCAAGGTGGCGGCCTGACCTTAGCTGTCCTTGAGCTGGCTAGACCAGTTCTCTGGGCTCTCCAGGGAAACAATCACTGTCCTGATCAGTAGAGTGTGAGCCCCACCTATGGTGGAACAGATTGCTCTGGATAGCTGATGCCTTCAGGGAGAAAACTTCTAAGCAGCTGGACTCAAAATGTGCTGGCAAACAGTGAGACAACCTTTCTGCTTCCCACATCAACTAAAGACAAAGATGTGAGAGGCATCAATTGGTTAAAGAGATTTTATGATTATATAAATCAATGGAAGAAGTAATAACCAATTTAGCAGAGTCCTCTGAATTTAAAATGCCCAGTATTAGGTTCGCTGCAAAGATGAACTGAGGCCAGGCCAGAGAGAAGGAAAAAGAAATTTATTCTGCGCTCCCAGGCGAGATTGATGGACTTCAGCAAGGTGTCAGAGACAGCCGGGAGGGAGGGGAGAGCAGAGAAAGAGACTGGAGCCCTGAGCTCCCAGACGAGGCCCCTAGCCCCCAGCTGGGGTTCCAAGAAGTAGCACCTATCTGTGGTGAAGAGCAAGTTTTTAAGCTGGTCAGGAGGGTAAACAAGAAGGGAGGGGGCAGGTGCTGCAGCTGCAGGGACTTTAGCCTTCTCCTTCTGAGGTAGGGTGGTGCCTTGATCATTCTGCCTGATATGAGGAGTTGGCTCATTGTCCTGGAGCCCTTTTGAAGCTAGCAGCGTTGGTCCGATAAGGGCAAGTCAGACTGTTCCTAATGTCCCCGACCCACCCATGCCTGACCCAACACCCAGTGAAGGAAATTTTAGAATAGGTTGATGAGTGGAGTTGCCCCACACAATTCCTAAGACATTCATAACTTAAGGTATCAGAAGCTATCAGGGGAGACAAAGATAAGGAAAGATTGGTCAAATGTTCGTATGTGGAGTGATAGGGTTCCCCAGGTTCTCTGCTATTGCTCTTCAGGCAAAAAACAAGAAGTGTGCCATCTGGAAGAACTCCAGATGTGAGCACACCAGACACAGAAGAAACAAGAGTGAATGAGGGGCTGCTTCCCACGCTGTGCCCAACCAGTGTGCTGCATTTGAGAAAGGAGATAGAAGAGTAGTTACTATCTGATTACTTTACAGAATATCTGAAGGAAAGACCTCCGCACTTTGGGCGAGTGGTCCAACCCTAACACTGCCCGGTCATCCCAGAGTGGTGCTCAAAACACACACACACACACACACACACACACACACACACACACACACACACCCCACCGCCGACCATGGAAAATCTTTAAGAGTGAATGAGATAAGCCAAAACAGAAAGAAAAATCTAAAGACCTGGAAACAGGTGGTAGGAAATAAGAAAATTTTAAAGACAACTATGATTCCCTCAGTTAAAGAAAGCAGCATTTCAGCCAAGAAGTATGAAGAAAATCTATGGGGGAAAATAGTTAAAGAACAAGAATTAAAGTTACTGAGTCCTACTGAGAAGATCATAAAGTAGTCACTAGCATTCAGCAGCCAAGTCTGACTCCAAAGCCCTGGCTTTTGCGGCTTTGTCCCGCTGGCTTTCCTCTGACTCTGCAGCGCTGTTGTGAAGGCTGTGTGAGCTGATGGAGCTGACACTCTCAGGTTGCTCCATTGAGATCTTAGGTCCACCAGAGCTTACAAAATCTACTCAGACCACTAATTCACTTTGAAAAAGGAATACGTTCTCTTAAGTAGCAAGTATAGGTACATAAAGGTTTTCCCTAAAGCTTTTCTAGAAAAAAAAAAAAAGTTTATCTTATGAGACTATATTAGCAAAAAGGAGTTACTATTTTCCCTCTACTATCAATATTTTAATGCTTGATATTTGGTTGTTTTACATTGATTAAACTGTGCATTGCCTGCCAAGAATGTTAAGCTTATAACTGGAATGCTGTGGATGTTAATTATGTTTATCATATCAACCATCGCCATGATCTGTTTTCAAATTTTTCAATCACCCTTCACAAAAACTGTTTTTCCTAACAATATACATCCTTTAAATATATCTTAACATTATGAACGCCTCAACCATGCTTTTAAGTGGCAGCAAAACTAAACATAATTAATATCACTGAATTGTATATGTAGTAAATATTGAAAAGGCAAGTTTCCTGTTAGTTATCCAACACGTGCACTTGAGAACACACATGTGCACACACACACACATACCAGGCACACTTCAATGCTATGTTGAATAATGCCTTATTTCCCAAATAAATCACTGTTATAAGTATAAAATATACCTCCCTCCATTTTTATCTTGTGATTCTTCTTCATACCATAAAATAAAAATCTATAAAATAGCTTTAAAATGTTAATTTGAGGCTTAAGCTTTCCTTTCCTGATTAAATCAAATCTCTGGGTTTTGGTTACATGGTATATTTTGTTTGGAGCACTGGAGAACACTTATTAAAACATCCAAAGCTAGGTCTGAGGCCCGAGGCCCTGGGTGGGAGTCTGTGTTTGCCAAGCTCTCCAGGTGATAGGGGTTTGGGAACCACTAGTTCAAAACACGTTAGTAACAAAATATGAATTTTAAAAATCCTTACAAAAGGGAAAAGAATCTACATGTTATATGAAAGTTATTGGGTTTCAAGTTATTGTGTATTTCTCTCTTTGTAGGCTGGGATCATTACGGAAGCAACTTATCCCTGGGATCAGGTGAGGGTTCTTTGTGCCCAGGTTTTTTGGCCCTTGCGACAGTTTTATAGCCTTTTTTTTTTTTTTATAAACTTGCCAATATTCCTAAAGGGCAAGTCAACTGCTGGACTTTGTATGCCAAGCAGGATAATGATCAAATGAATCCTGCAGGTGGTCCACAGCCTTTGTAGGGCACCGGGCACCTTTGAATTTTAATGCAATAAGCAAGAGTAATTATAACAAGTGTAGACTTCTTGCCAAAGAGGTAAAACAAAAACCTAGTAGAAGGCAACCCTAAGTTACAGGGCTTTAATCATAAAGTTTTATTTGTAAGAGAAACTTTCCCATGATTTTTAACAGCCACTATAATGCCTGCACCGTCTCACCTCTTTGGCACAGTGCCATGGGGACAGCCAGTGCCAGTACCTGGAAAGCCGTTCCATCATGCCTCTTATCCTGGACCCGGACCCATGGCAGGAGGGATGGCAGCTGGTGTGCACAATCAGTTCATCCCTTTGCAGGTGAGACTTGGGTACTTTTCTTGCTCAAAACTGTGATCAGAGACTGTTCATCAAGACTAGTTTATTCAGTTTATTCATATAGGGTATCACACCAGAAGGCCAGTACTGAGGATGTCTGGCAGTGCAGGCAGGTCTGACCTGGTGGCCATCCTCCTTTCAGAGTTCATGTTCCGATGAGGGAGAATAATTCTAGTAAGTTATGCTTCCTTAACACAAAGTAATTTAAATCAGGAACATAATTTTTTTAATAGTTAACTTATGGACATTCTTTATTGTTTATATACAACTAAATACTCCAAATTATTAATATTTGGTTTGAAAATTGTAAGTAGAAATCACAAACCAATAGTGAATGACAACTGTTAGCAACATGGTTTATGATATTGTAAAACTGGGTTTGCGATTTTGTTTTTGGCTTAGATTGTTAATTATTGACACTTTTATTCCTTAAAGGTTACTAAGAAAAGGGTTGCAAATAAAAAGAACTATGAGAATAAGGATGCTCAGGGTTCTTCTCAAGCTGCCCCGCTTCAGACTAGCCAGCCAGCATCTTCAGAGAGCTCCACGCGGACTCCACCACAGGAGAGCCCAGCAGCATCTGGGAAATCCCCTCAGAGGCCTCAGCCTGCGTCGTCTTCTCAAGTGGAAGCTGCCTCCCACGGCCGCAGTACATCTCACTCAAAGTCAACACCAAGTTCCTCAAGAAGAAAACCAAGAAAACTGGCTGTCAATTTTGGTGTTTCCAAGCCTTCTGAATAAATTTGGTACTTGCAATTAAATGAATTTCTTTCCTTTTCCTTTTATGAAACATAGTACATCTCTATGTCTCATAAAAATTAGAATGTACTATTTTAAAATAATACATTTGAATTGAAACTTTTTTAATGCTTTAGTTGTCAGGCACTTTTCATGCTGTTTGCAAGACTATCAAATTGTATACTTTAAATATGTGCAGTTGGTTGTATGTCAATCATACCTCAACAAAGCTTTTAAAAAAAAACTTTATGAAAGCTGATGGTGCCCACCTACCAAAAGATATAGTGTCTGGGGTCTTAAAGGCTTGAAGATAAACAAGTGGCCATCTAGCTGAGAAGCAACAAAGTCCACATGGAAGAAGCACACCAGCCTGTGCAATCACGAGGTGTTGATAGGATCAAGTATCAGGTATCAAAGACCCAGAACAAAAAATCATATGATTGTGAATGAGGGGGAGTGCGGAGTAGAGACCCAAAGCCCATCTGTAGGCAACTGGGATCCCCTTACATAAGGGTCACGGGGAGGAGACGAGCCAGTCAGGGTGCAGTATAGCACCGATGAAACATACAACTTTCCTCTAGTTCCTAAATGCTTCCCACCACCCACCCTCCCACCCTACTATCATGATCCCAATTCTACCTTACAACTCTGGCTAGACCAGAGCATGTACACAGGTACAGATAAGAACTGGAAACACAGGAAATCCAGGACAGATATACCCCTCAGACCAATAATGAGTAGCGATTCTGGGATGGTAAGGGGAAGGTGGGGGAGAAAGGGGAAATTGATCACAATGAGCTACATATAACCCCCTCCCAGGGGGGTGGACAACAGAAAAGTGGGTGTAGGGAGACATCAGTTAGTGTAAGATATGAAGAAATAATAATTATAAATTATCAAGGGTTCATTAGGGAGGAGAGGAGTTGGGAGAAGGGGGAAAATGAGAAGCTGATACCAAGGGCTCAAATAGAAAAATGTTTTGAAAATGATGATGGCAACAAATGTACAAATATGCTTGACACAATGAATGGATGGATTATGATAAGAGTTACACAAACCCCCAATAAAATGATTAAAAAAAAAACAACACTTCACATTAATACTTCGTGTTAAAATACTGTCAGTGGTCTAAGCATTAAAAATGTACCACTCTAACCACTGCTCTATCATTAGAAGCATCCTGTACTATGAATTAGACATCATCTTAGCAATAATGAAAAATATTTTGTACATTATCATCAATGGGTAGTTATGTAAATGAAGCATGAAAATTGGGCCTCAAATATTTACTGAATGCGGACTTTATGTCACTTTTAAATAATATGACAGATTTTCAAAAGGCTGGGCTCTTATTTTTGTGTGCACTCTGTCTTCTTGGGCCTGTAGACTCGCTGTGAAATGCCCACACTTGGGGTGGTGCTGCCAGTTTTGCTTTATTCTACATTTTTACCAAAGCAACTTTAGAAAACTGATAAGAATGTACCATCTAAATGCTGAGAACTGTGAATAAAAACCTAGGCTGGAGTAAGCTAGGCTGGAGTAAGCAATGGCATTGTGCTAGGACATTTAAGAACCAGCATTTGTAATTTCTAGTAAGATTAAGCTTCAAAATATACAGGGTACAATGACTACAAACTGATGAAATTAACTATAAAACACCAATCATGTTTTCAATTAAAACAAATTGTGTGGTTCCTTTGGGTTTAGCATGTTTCTTTTTTGGTCCATGTGTAATGCTTTCTGAAATTGATAACATTATGAATTTTTTAAATTCTAAGGTGTGTTACACAGGAACCCTCATTAGTTAGGTTGTGAAGTATGTGATTGTGGTGACACATGCCTGTCTTCATTCTAGTTCTATGTTTTTAGCCTTACACTGAGCTGTGTGGTGTTGCTGGCATTTTGCCTTTGCATGTTATATGTGGGAGGGGGTAGTATTCAATCTGTGGCTGTTGAAATTGTTTTAAAACTTATGAAAAGTTCACAGTGATGCTAGGACCTGATGTTTTGCTACATGTATACATTTACCTTTTAGTTTTTGTGATATGTGTATATTTTTAAAGAAATAATTTATCATATTTTTTAAAACAGTAGGAACCATAGTCTTTATATGGAGCTACTTAGTATTATACCTGATTTCATTTAGCTTATTGAGAACTCTGTCATGAGTCTTAAGATAATCTCTTTATTTAAAAAAAAAAGATGCTGGTATTGAACTAAATGGATTCTTTTCTCTGTTGATTTCTGAGTTTCTCTAAACATTGGCAGCACAATTGCTTCTAAGTAGTGCCTTTAGTATAATGAGATAAATGTTCATCATCTGTCACTTGTCACAGTCATGTGAGTTTTCTTTTCTTTTTTTAATTAATTGCTAAATCTCTGATGTTTACTGGCTCCCAACATTTCCTTTTGGGGAATGTTGGTTTTTCTAGAGTGGAATTCTGAGTCATGATGTGTAAATTAAGTTTCGCGTTTATCCCTGTTGCCTCACAGACAGACTCTCTTCTAAGACCCACATCCAAACCTATAAATATTATCCTCGTTGGCCTTCAGATGCATAGATTCATCTATTTGTCTTAAAGGAAATGGAAACCCCTATTTTGAGAATAGAAGAAAAAGTTAAATTATAATAAGGCTGTTAAGTTACCCTTTTACTGTGTTTCACTGCCCGTGGTTGGCACCAAGTCATCACTCCTGTGGGACGGAAGAGCACAGTCACCTTCTGGAAGCCCCCAGGAGAATGGCAGTGCCCACAGTGCCCTGAGCCTGCAAGAGTACTTACCCGCCCTTCCAGCAAAGCAAGCTAATGATGCTGTATGGATAGGCAGTGAAGTTGTCTTTCGGTTCTTTTATAAATGTATTATTCTAAAGGCTAAGATGGAAGAGAGAGTAAAAGAAGAGAGCCCCATAATGTCGGGGTAGTGATCAGACGTTCCTCTGTGTTCTTTGTCCCTCGTGGACCTGAGCTGAATAGAGGATGTGCCCTCAGCCTTCCCCGTGTGGATAGAGGGTTCAGAGCCTAGTGCATCTCTAAAGTCACCTGGACTTACAGCTTTCTCCTAATGGAGGAAGCAGACCCAGACCACTCCCGAAGGTTAGAACTAAGTCCCACCATGCAGTTTGCTGTGGACTTCTGTACTAAAACAGGAGTATGGAGAGGACAAAAGAGCAGATTCCCTGCACTTCCTCATGTCTCCACCTAACCAGAGCAGTTAAATCTGTTTAAACTTTCCAGTCTTTATTGAAACATCATTTCTAAATATTCTTGTTCAGTACCCACCCCACCCCCCTCTCTGACAAATTAAGTAAACTTTAAAAATTGATCTTCCAGTCGAATTATTTTTTTCACACATTTCTGCATTACCTGGTCATATCAACTTTATAATTTGACAGGTAAAATGTGTTAGTCATTTTAAACACTATGTAGACTAAAGTCTTAAACATCTGAGAGTGTAAAAATTAAAATTGATACCCATATTAATCTTGGTTCCAATTTAAGAGTTCCCTTGCTTTACAGAGGGACAAGTAGCAAAGATTAGAAGGTGTTTGTTTATTTTGCTTTGGTTTTGCCTGTTAGTGGGGAAACAAGGGGAGGCGGAGTGATGAACTATTGACACAAGCTTTGTTATTTCCTTTTTCATGATTAGTTATTTGCTTTGGTTTTAGACTAGTATTTCCAAACAATTTTAGATTCTTATTTCAAAGAGAGGGAACAGAGATGAGTGAGGTTGGTAGAAGAAAAACTGCTAAATAAGACACACACACATACACAAACACACACACAAAGACACAACCAGTCATTTCATTTTAAGGCTAATCTATTTTTTTAACTTGAAGAAATAGGTTAAGTTGCAGGGTCTTTTTTTATTATTCACTCACTCTTAAGTAATCAGCATTCTATTTATATTAATAAGGCAAACACTTTAATAGTGATTGATTTTCACTTTATATGAGATAGCTAGAAGTGTGTAGATTTACCCTGAAATTAGTTCTAGCCTGCTCCATATGATTGACAACGTGATATTCTTGCACAACTTCCTAGCATTTTGGACATGCTGTATTTCTTTTTTTTTTTTTTTCATGCTGTATTTCTTAAGGACCACCTCAACTTCCCAAATCTCTTTACTACCCGTGGGAATTCATTTATGGAAAAGCAATTTCTGTAAAAGACATTCTCTACCTAAAAAGAAGTGAGTCACAGCAATTCATCTGCCATTTGTCTGGAGGTAGCAGTAGTTCGCAAACTGGCCGTCTGTATGTACACTTTGTAAGGTATGTCAATGAAGGAGTCTCGTTTACAGGAACTTCCTTTCCTAATGTTTCAGAAATGAAGATTTTTTCAGACTGATGTGATTCATATTGCCATAAGCCCTCTTCGTCTTTGGTCAGGGAGCAGTGAGGCAGAGTTGACACAGACGTCAGCAGGTCCCCAGCAACAGCAGAGCCAGCGGTCAGGCTGCAAGTTTCACTGTTAACTTCCAGCAGTAACAGCTCAGATAGCACAAGCCCTTCTCTCGGAGAAGGGGAAAATGCTGAGAATCATCTTAGTAGTTAAGAGCACCAACAATCCATAACTGATTGTGTGTGTGTGCGTGTATATCAGTAATAATGCCTTGATCAATCAACGCATTCAGCCATCTCAAGTGCAATTTGTGAAGGAGACTGTGGTTTCCAATAGATACATTTTTACATAGTTAAACTGGTAAAAGTTCTTTTTTAATTTTTTTTAAACCTAACTGTCCAGTCATTCCTCTTGATGGTTTCAACTGCTCGTGTACTATTAAACTGCCCAGGCCAAGTAAGCAGCCCGCTGTAGATGGTTTTGTTATTTGAAACCAAATTGCTTTTAAGAAATAATAGTGAGAATTTGGTCCATAGTTTAAGTTCTTTTAGTATTTTCACAAGTCATCCAAACCCCATCCCTGCTCTAATATCAAACTTTTTTTTAACCTATCATTAAATTGTTAAATTTTTTAGTGTTTTCGTCTATTTTGATGCATAGTCATACTGTGTTGTAT